TTAGAAGAAATGCATAATTTCCTAGCAAAATACAAATGACCAAAACTGACCCAAAAAGATTTGAATAGATTACCACAGAACACATCAGAAAGGTGATTAAGGGTCTACCCATTGAAAAAAGGCATCAAGACCAGATGGTAGTAAGTTTTATCTTACCTTAAATTTTTTTTTTTTTTTTTTTTTAAACAGAGTCTCACTCTGTCGCCCAGGTTGGAAAGCAGAGGTGCAATCTCGGCTCACTGCAACCTCCATTTCCCAAGTTCAAGCGATTTTCCTGCCTCAGCCTCTGAGTAGCTAGGATTATAGGCGATAGGCACCTGCCACCATGCCCAGCAAATTTTTGTATTTTTAGTAGAGACGGGATTTTGGCCAGGCTGGGAACTCCTGACCTCAGGGGGTCTGCCCACCTTGGCCTCCCAAAGTGCTGGGATTATAGGCGTGAGCCACAGTCAGGCCAGGATACATAATTTCTAATGGTAATTAAAGTATTCCAGGCAAGAGGAAAAGAAGGAACATTCTGCATCTGCAGTATATTTTACATAGCTACTATAACTTTAATCCTTAAATTTGGTTTCTTTAAGAGATAAGAGTCTTGCTCTGTAGCTCAAGCTGGAGTTTGGCAGCACAATCATAGCTCACTGCAGCCTCGAACTCCTGGGATCAAGTGATCTTCCTGCCTCAGCCTCTCAAGTAGCTGGGACTGCAGGCACACACCACCAGGCCTTGCTAATTTTTATTTTAATTTTTTTGTTTTGTTTGTTTTGTTTTGAGACAAAGTCCCAGTATGTTGTCCAGGTTGCTCTCGAACTCCTGGCCTCAAGCAATCCTTCTACCTCGGCCTCCCAAAGTGTTGGATTACAGGTGTGAACCACCGCACCTGGCCTCAATCCTTAAACTTGAAGAACACTAAGGAAAACATGACTCTAATCTCAGGAATATTGAAGCAAGATTCTAAATAAAATATTGACAAATAGAACGCAGCAATATATCAAAATAATAATAAAATATGATCAGCAGGGTGTATTTCAATAATGTAAGAGTAGTTCAAACCCAGAAAATCTACCCATGTAATTTACTGTATCAAAAATTTAAATGAAAAACTCCCAACATGATTAATAGATGTAGAAAAAGCATTAGATAAAATACAGCTACCATTCCTTCTTTTAAAAAATCTTGGCTGGGCACAGTGGCTCACTCCTGTAATCCCAACTCTTTGGGAGGCCGAGGCAGGAGAACTGCTTGAAGTCAGGAGATCAAGACTATCCTGGCAACAAAGCAAGACATTGTCTAACTCTAAATAAATAAATAAATATTCTTAAATCTCTACATAAATGTGAAAACTATTTTAGTATAATAGACTATTTAACAAATAGCAATAGCAAATATGAACACAGAAAATATTTCAATTTAAAATCAGTTTTAGGCAAAAGTAGCCTACCAGCACAATTTTTATTTAACTCTGAATTTCTAGCAAATGCAACAAGAAAATAAAATAACTGATATGACTATGGAAAAGAAGAGATAAAACTAAAATAAAATTTATAAGAACAAGAGAATTTGGTAAGATAACCAGATAAAATATATTTTTAAAAATCAACAATCCTTTCCTATTCTAGCAAAAAGCACTTAGGAATGGAAAGGTGAAAAATATTCCACTCATAATGGGGCAGGGGTAAGGGAAGCAATGCTATTAATTCTTTTTCTCTTCTTTTTTTTTGTGGGATAGAGATGGGTTTTACCATGTTGTCCAGGATGGTCTCAAACTCCTGAGCTCAAGCAATCTGCCCACCTGAGCCTCCCAAAGTGCTGCGATTACAGGCGTGAGCCTCTGTGACTGGCTGAAAAGCTGTTAATTCTTGAGGAATAAATGCATCAAGAAAGATATAGAGCAGATATGAAGAAAAACATAAGTTTAATAAAAACACATAAGATGTGAACAGATGGAAAGAAATACTATTTCTTAGATAAAAGGAGCCATATAACTTAAAAATTGAAATATACACTTAATGCAACTCTAACTAGAATTCCACTAGGGTTTAAGAGAAGAGGAGAATATAAGTGATCTTAAAATTTGTATGTACAAAAAAGTGATAGCAAATAGCCAAGAAAAAAAAAAAATTTTTTTTTTTTTGAGATGGAGTTTCACTCTGTCGCCCAGGCTGCAGTGCAGTGGCACAATCCTGGCTCACTACAACCTCCACCTCTGGGGTTCTAGTGATTCTTGCCTCCCGAATAGCTGGGATTACAGGCATGTGACACCACACCCAGCTAATTTTTGTATTTTTAGTAAAGACAAGGTTTCACTATGTTAGCCAGGCTAGTCTCAAACTCCTGACTTCAAGTGATCCGCCCACCTTGGCCTCCCAAAGTGCTGGGATTGTAGGCGTAAGCCACGGCACCTGGCCCTAGAAATTTTTTTTTTTTTAAGTCTAATGTAATCTAATCTATATGATTTGGATACACAAATAGACAAACAGAAGAAACAATAGAGAATCCATAAGTAGATCCTAGCATACAAAACACTCCATAGCTGCAAAGGTCACAGGGGAAAACAGGGATAATTTAATATATTATTCCAACACAACTGGTTACCTATCTTCAAGAAAACTACCCAAGACTGGAAATCCAGAAGCTATACAAGAGAAGAGTCATATCTGAATATCAAAATGCAAACAATTATATGGAAATATATTCCATCAACAAAGTCAATATAGGTGGGGCGCAGTGGCTCACATCTGTAATCCCAGTACTTTGGGAGGCTGAGGTGGGCAGATCACTTGAGGTCAGTAGTTTAAGACCAGCCTGGCCAACATGGTGAAACCCAATCTCTACTAAAAAACTAAAAATTAAAAAAAAACAAAGTCAATATAAATATATTTGGCAAAGATATCTGTAACAACAATGATAGACAAAGGGCTAAAATCTAAAATATACAAAGAGGACTTAGAAATTAAGAAAAATATAAACAACCCATACGAAAATGTGCAGATGATATAAATAGACAATTCAAAGAACAAATTTACTTAGACAAAAAATTGAGATAATACTGAAACTCACTAGTAGCCAAGAAACTATATCCATTAGGTTGTCAAAATTACAAAAGAACCATAACACCTATTGCTGATAGGAATATGAAGAAAATAATAATCTCGCATACTACATACAAAAGCAAAAAATTCAGTATAACAGCCTGTTTTTGTAAATCAATATGGCAACATCTATTAATATATATATTTATATATAAACATTCGTATGTATCTATATACCTCTACCTACATCTATATCTATCTAAATTGAAAGTAACAGTATATAAGGGTGTATGAAAAATCATGTTGATTCAGCATTGAATGTAGTGTCAGAAATATGCAAAGAAAGTAAATGTTCATTAATAGGGGAATAGTTGAATAAATCATTGTGTATCCATGAAATATTTCACCGATTATAAAAGAATAAGAGTTTACATCAATAGACTGTGACAGAATTCTATGAGATATTGTAGAATGAAAAAGCAAGATATATTAAAGTATATATAATATTCTATTTCTGTAAAACAATGAACAAGAAAACATTCCAAAACTAGTGTGTGTGTGTATGTGTGTGCATCTGTGTATCTGTGCACATGGAGAAAAATGTGAAAAGATACATACTGTTTTGCTAATACACAGGGATAGTGTGGAAAGGCAGAGCTAGGAGCTAAAGACAAAAAGGGGAAAGAAAGGACCACTACAAAAAAAAAAAAAAAAAAAAAAACCCAAGCAATCTTACTTATGCATTTACACATGTCTATGACTACACATCAATAAACCAAGTTAAATTTAGAAAAGATACAGTAAACACCTCAATAGACAATATGATCTCTGCTTATTAAGAAAAGTAAGGCAATAAACAAAATTATCTCGGTGCTTGGATTAGGGATGGATCATGTTTCTTCCTCACGTGTCCCTGTGTTTTCCATGAGAATTGTTACTTTCATAATAATGAAATAAAACCAATAAATGTTACTTTTAAAACATTACACTGAATAATTGAGTTAATTCTGGAAAATCAAGGGAGGAAAACAGGGTTAAATACCCCTTTCCCTTGGAAGCTGTCCAAGTAAGAAATGTATGAAATCAGGTTCCATTATCCCTCACCCAGCTGAAAGTTACTCACCTAAGGCAAGAGACTAAGTGGCTATTTCAGGGAGCTATTCGAAGCAGGAAATGGGGTCCTTTTTCCCCTACCTAACACTTTAATGACTTAAGTAAATCAGAAAGCCATTTACACCACTCTCAATTATCCAAGAATCTGCTTGGCTCTTTATTTTCTGTTCCCTTCCTCTGGCTTGCGGCCATTTCAGTGCTCAGGAACATCTCCAAAATGGGGGTCAGGGAAGGAGAAAAGAGATGAAATTAATTCAGTCGATTTAGCTTCTCATTAGCAACTCTAATAAAAGGTTTGATAAGTGAGGTGGTCACAACTCATGGTTAAAATGAGGGTTCCGGGACTTTTGATAATTTCATGTAAGTAAACTTGCCTTCAGAGAAACACTATTTGCCTGCAATATACTTTAATGAATTTGATGCTTGCTATTTTTATGAAAGTCAGAACTTAACAATAGTTGATATTTTTCTCTCCTCACTTTAATTTGCACTTTAGGGAAAAAAAACCCATAAAAACATAAGAATAATGCCCTTCAATGTGAAGAACCACATCCTCAGTGGAGCAGTAGGCTCACAAAGCAAAGATTCTTAAGAGAAAGGAAGCTGTCTGGCCCCTAGCATGCTCTCAAGAGAAATTTTATCAGGGCAGCAACCTTCCAAGGGAGCATGCCTTAGCCATACAAACCCCACTGGGAGGATTTGCTAAAAAGGATTTGACATGGCTTAACAAAAGCCAGGTCTCCACACACAGTATTTCCTTGTTTCAGTAGGCCCTCACAGATCTTTGTCCCTTTGGGAAGTCCAGAGACAAAATGGTACAATTCCAAGGTGTTCAAGCAAAAAACAATTTTCTCTTACTTGAAGACAACGATAGCTCCCCGACATGGAGGGCAGGCCAGGAGAAAGATCTGCAATTGAAGAAGAATTAAGAATGGTTAGCAAGAAAAAAATGCCAGACAGAGTGAGACAACGTTATTTTAACAATAACAAACAAAAAATAACCAAAACTCTAACACAATAATGTAATATAAAATTTTTTAAGGCAACAAATAGTTTTCCAAAGTCCATGTTTGGATATGTGTGTGTGTGTGTGTGTGTGTGTGTGTGTGTATGTTTTTGCACGTGCGCACACACACATGAGAAAGAGAGGATGACAAGACTCAATATTTCAATGCTTCAGTTTCAATATGACATAAGTAGTCAGTCTTAAATTTAACCCAGGGCAGGTAAAAATAGATTCTGGGCATGGAACATGCACACATATGCCATCTGGTTTGCCTCCCATGGGAGAAGGTGGTTTTATCAATACTCAACATTGCCAAATTTAGCAAATAAAAATACAGATGTCCAGTTACATTCAAATTCCAGATAAACAATGAATAATGTTTTAGTATAAGGATGTCCTGTATTTATTTTATCTGGCAACCCTATCAAACTGCCGCCCCCATGTTCCAACCCTCCCTTTGATAGATTCTTTTCTTTCTAAGCATGCCTAGGTGCTTTTACTCTTCCATTCTCCTCCCAGGTCAAACCAAACAAAAAGAACCTTGTCCCAAGAGACAAATCAGTTCCCTGATACCTGGTGTGACCTAGGTCCAGAATACAGCCTTTGGAAACCTGCAGCTGTGGCAGTTTGACCTTCCTCCATGCAGTGGTGCTCAAAAATCAAAAGGAACAAAAAAGTCCTATGCAGAGCTTGTTAAACATGCAAATTCCTGGCTTCCCTGATTAAGAATTCTGATTCCCCAAGTATGGGACTCCAGGAATCCTCATGTTTCACAAATGTCCCAGGAGACTGAATCACTCCTGGTAGCCTGAGATGCTGAATTTTTGCCCTTGGACTGAACTACTAGAGGAGTCAAAGATGTTCACCAAGACTGAGGATTGACAAAGGAATGAAACTCATGTTGGTAGTTTCTTCACCTGTAGTGACTTCATGGTGTGGTTTAGAAATTGTTGACATGTGTCCTTATGTTGTTGAGAGCTCTTATTAATATAGGATACCTGCATTATGGACTTGTCGGCTGTGTCACATGTATGTTCTTTAGTATGTGGTTCTTCAGTTCTCTCAGAGTGCATATTTAGAAGAAAAGAGTATTATAAGAAAAATCGTTATAAGGAAAGACACCTGCACAAATATTTGCCAATAGGAAGAGGAAGAAGAATGAAAAAGAGAAAGGGTCTTAAAAAATATTCAGCAGTCCATCACCTGCATGATACCTCATCAAAGAACCCCTCCAAGGAAATATCCAATGAGAACATGCCTTTTTCCTTGATCAATTTGATTAAAAATACAAAGCCAATGATAATTACAGGTCCACAATCTTTTGCTGGTAATCCTAAAATCCAAAGAGCTCTAAAAACTGAAAGTTTGTTTTCTTCAAAGCTAATGTGATAGCAAAACATGACTTGAACTGAGGTTAGGCTATTTATAGACTTTATTTCTTCCACTTATAGTGAATATCCATATGTTTCCCATAAAAAATAATAATGTATTCAATTGTGGGGTGCTGCCTCAAGCCCCACTGGGAGTATATGTAAAAGACTACATGCACTGTACTGCCTTTCTAAAATCCAAAAAATTCTGATTTCTGAAATATATCTGATCATAATGGTTCTGGATAAGGATTACAGACTTGGAATTTAAATTATCCAAACATTGATTTATCCCCACTCCCCACCCCACCCCTCAGGAGCAGTCTAAGAAATAAACAAAACTAATATTCTTTACCCCGATCCAGCAGTAAAGTTACTCACCTTAGGCAAGGGACCAATTTGGAGGCTGCACATAGTTACCCAGCATCAGGCACATCAAAGGCTACACTCAGAAGCTACAGTACACAGAGAGGAGGCAGGGGCCCCAACCACCTTAGAAAGGTCCTCAATACTTCTGGAGTCACCAGAGTCATGCCAGCAGCCTTCCTGAGCTTCTGGAATACCCAAGACACTTCCAACATGCTAAACAGAGAAGTAAAAATGCGACACTGGGCACCACAGTTAAATCTTACTTTTCTATACCCACAGAGAAGAAGAGGTAAGCAGATTTTAGGGGAGATATTTCCCTTATAAGTCCATTTGGCTGATTCTAATCCACAACTTCCCCAGGCTGGAAGCCCAGAAAACTATTAAAGAGAACAAGCCTCTAGTTTCAACCCAGTTGGTTTTCCTGTTTTCCTCCATCAGTCATGGATCTAACTTTAGTCGTTTCATATTTTCTGTCTTGCCTGTGTATTTCTATCACCACATAAAGGGTATATATGTATATATTTTTTTTTTGAAATGGAGTCTCACTCTGTAACCCACTCTAGAATGCACTGGTGCGGTCTCAGATGACTGCAACCTCCACCTCCCAGGTTCAAGCAATTCTCCTGCCTCAGCCTCCTGAGTAGCTGGGATTATAGGCATGCGCCACCATGCTAGGCTAATTTTTGTACTTTTAGTAGAGACAGGGTTTCACCATGTTGGCCAGGATGGTCTCAATCTCCTGACCTCGTGATCCACCCACCTCGGCCTCTCAAAGTGCTGGGATTACAGGCATGAGCCACCATACCTGGCCTTTTTTTTTTTTTTTTTTTAGAGACAGAGTCTCACTCTGCCTCCAGGCTGGAGTGCAGTGGTGCAATCATAGCTCACTGCACCCTCCAGTTTCTGGGCTGAAGCAGTTCTCCTGCCTCAGCCTTTTGAGTAGCTGGGACTACAGGTGTGTACCACCACACTAATTTTATTTATTTATTTATTTATTTATTTATTTATTTATTTATTTATTTATTTTTGTGGAGACAGGGTCTCACTATGTTGCCCTGGCTGGTCTCAAACTCCTATCCCCAAGCAATCCTCCTCCTGCCTCAGCCTACCAGAGTGCTGGGATTACAGGTATGTCACTGTGCCTGGCCTCTAGGGTCCTTTTTCAAATCTGCTGACTTGACATGACTACATGTATCTGATTGAAAAATTACTTATTACATTCCATTCCACCTTCTATAATGGTACACAGTTATCTGGGGATTACTCATTATTCATATTACATTTCCAGTAAACTCACGCCCACCTTTAGCAACTTCTCAGATTTATGATACTGAACCTCTTCACCCTGTCATGCTAGAATCACATTCATATTCAACATTACCCAACAGAGCCACATAAAACTAACATTTTAATTCAGAGGTGCAAGGGCCCCCAGCCTTGACCTGAATATCCCTGCTTTCTTCTTTGCTTGGCTTTCAACTGCCTGAAACTTTGGTGGCATGCTTTTTAGACTAGCAGGTGAAAAGCTAAACTATCACTTTGGCTGCAAATATCATAGGAAGAGAGGAGACATAGAAGTTCAAACAAGGATGGTACAAAGATGAACATGTATCTGAGCATACCCCAGTACCAACTTGGCACTTTGCATTCATGCTGAAATCTGCCCAGCTCAGCACCTGAAACAAAAGGCATGCGCAGGTAGCATACAGAGAAGTGCTACAGAGCACTTCCACTTTCCCATCGCCTGGGAGGCAGGCAGGACCATGTTATTAAATCCCATTTCTGAGATGAGGAAACTGAGGGAAAAAGGTTCTGACAAGCTTTCTGACAAGAACCCAGGTCCCCTAACTCCCAGTTCAATGCACTTTCCACTTCACACCTGACACAGACCAGGACTCATGGGGCTCCATTTCTTTAGACTCTAGCCCTGGCCCTTGACCATATGGCACACAGGGAGTCACCCCAACAGCCCCACACCTGTGCCAACAGCCAGCTCATAAGATCTACTCTCTACAGTGTGAGACATCTCAAAACACAAACTCAAGTGGGCAGCAAACTGCATTTACATAGATGAGTTTTGGAGTCCCAAAGACAGGTTCATTATAGCTTCCACCTGTCTGTCGGAAGCACTTGCAATTCTTATAAAACTGAAGTCTTTGTTGGATGTTTCTTCCAGAAAAATCCACAGCTTCCTCAGGAAAGATCTCTGTACTAACCTTCAGCTCTTTCCTAAGCATCCAGTCTAGGCACCAGCTGTTAACACCAGTTCATCTTCTACCTTTGAACCTCTCTGGTTCCAGGTTCCCTCCTTCCCTACCCAACCTCTCAGCCATCACCTCGCCTGCCTCCCATTCCTGTTCCCCCAGTCATATCAGCCTCTACTACACTGCCACCATTGTTCAGCCTCCCATCCACTTCTGCTCCACCCCAGTGTTACATTCAACAATCCCTATTTTCATAGCACCTAAAAAAAATAGCTTTTGTACACTGGAACAAGCGTTAGTACTATGAGAAATGTAACTGGGAAGGAGGGCCAGTCACCACAGGCCATCCTAAATGAGAGGCTAGCCAGGGTAATCAATGAAGGGATATGGGCAAACTAAATGAAAGAGAAACAGAGAGTGAGAGAGGTACAGCAGAGTGGTGTTTGGCCTAGCACACAATCTTCCCCAGCTCCAGTTCTCCTGTCACTACCTCCTATGATGGCACACAGCTATCTGGGGATTGCTGAGGCCAAGTGCTTATGACTGTCACCCACCATAAGGAAGATTAACTCACTGGGCTGCCCAAAGTCGATCCTCTGGCTCTATCCACTGATGTTCATACCCTCAGGCCCTCATCTCAGGATCACTGCAATAATTTCTTCATTGATCCTGCCTCCAGGCACACTACTACAAGAGGGATCTATCTAAAATGTCCCTCTGATCTGTCATTTTAAATCCTTCCATGGTTTGCCACTACCTACCAAAAAAGCTGAAGTTTCCTAGGATGGCAGACAAGGCCTTCTTTGCTCTGGATTCTGCCTACCTCTACAGCGTGGCAGCCTCATGCATTATCTCAAGCTATACCCTGAATGTATTCATGTCAATTACTACACTTCTACGATCTCATTTTCCAATAGCTTCATTTTATTCAATTACATGAATATGCAGTAATTTACTCA